CGGAATACAATTTTCTTTTAGTTTATGAGTTTAGTGTTAATTTTTTTTTTTTGAGAAAAGGTTCTATTCAAAAGTATAAGTATCGATAACAGGAGCATTATATAAACATAAGAACAACTCTAAGAACTCGCTAATACAAGAAAACTACAAATGATGAAAAGGATACTAAAAGAATGTCACAAGAAAAGAGCGGATAGTAACTTGATCCCTAAAGAAGATAGTGAGCAGCTAAATACTCATACATACGATCAACGACAAAAGGAACAAAAACAAATAGACGAGCCAAACACGGCATACGAAATGGCTAAGTGTACCATTAAGAGTAATCATCGCTGATAAACATATTTCAAGACATTTAAGAAATCACATAACTCAATACATGATATAATTTCACAATATATTCAAACATCGATGACCATGGGAATCTGACATGTTACCAAATGGGATGAACACACAAGATTATAATACCAAAACTAAGTTTTTTTCCGATTACTTTCTTGTACATGTCTACGAATACAATACAAAAAAAAATAGTTTTAGCGTCGGATTTGTGTCGACGCAAAATTAGCGACGATTTTGCGTCGTTTTTGAGTCGTTCAAACCATTCGACGCAAATTCACCGCAAAATTGAGACGAAAAATAGCGACGCTAAATCGACGCTAAATTGCATCAAATTAGCGTCGATTTAGCATCCAGGTCATCAATTCGACGCTAAATCGACGCTAAATTAACGTCAATTTAGCGTCGGTCCTATAGCGTCGGTTGTAACGTCGAATATTCCGTCGAACTGGATAGGTAGGTCGCACGTTTTTAATGGGTTCACCTACTTCTATAAAATCGACGCTAAATCGACGCTAATACGAAGCAAAGTCGACGCAAAATTATTCGATGCTAATTCGATGCTAAACNGCGATGCAAATTCGAAGCAAAATCGCTGCTAAATGTCTTATATATACTTCCCCAGATCACTCCCCAAACCCAAAATCATTGAAGAAAAAAAAATATTTCAATAAATTTTCTTAGTTAATATTTTCTGAATAAGATGGACGATATATACGAACTAAGAAGCTGGATGTATCGACGTAGAGATGAAAATGGAGGAATTTCAGAAGAGTTCCTCAAC